TTTGCAAATTAGCATTCTTTTAGATCATTGCATTGATGATAATAATCAGATGCATGTTCTTCATTTCTCCCATCCATTTCCAGCAAGAATCTCTGTTCTGTCGATCCCTTCTTAATTTGTTGTTGTCATTCAGTCGTTTTTAGTTAGATCCAACTCTTCCGTGACCCCACGTGGGGTTTTCTTGGCAGAGATACTGGAGTGGTTTGCCATTTCTTTCTCCAGCTCTTTTTACAGATGAGGAAACTGAGGCAAGCAGGGTGAAGTGACTTGCCCAGGGTCACACAGCTAGTAGTGTCTGAGGGTGGATTTGAACTCAGGAAGATGAGTCTTCCAGATTCCAGGACCAATGCTCTGTGCACTATGGCGCCACCTAGCTGTTAAACTCCTTCTTAAAAGGATGACATTTTGGTAGAAATGAGGGCGGGCAGGTGATAGGAAAGAGTTAAAGATATAATTTGGCTGATAACTTCTTGACTTCTTCCTATTCATCATATTTAGAAAATGAGCAGCCATATCCTCCCTGATATTAAGGAGACTAATTGGGTTTTCATTTCTAATCAGTCACCTCTTAGCTCTAGATTAGCATCTGAAAAATCTCAGTTCAGGTTTAAGAAGTGCTTCTGGGAAATGAGATCCAGGCCTAGGAAGCATTCTCTTTGGAGAAGGCCCAGCAATTTCAGAAGACATTCCCCCACACACAGCAGTATTGTGTATGCACTTGTGACCGTCCATTTCATACCATTTGATTTTTGTAAGTGTAGAGTTCAGCACAGGACTTTCAGAAGTCCCGCCCTACGTGCCTTTGCTTCCTCCTGGATTTCTTTCCCCTCTCTTCTTTGCATTTTTAAAATGTTTGTGCCTTTTGGGGGAGTGTCACTATTGCTCACCTTCCTTTTCTGCCTTCAGTTTTACATAGAAGATATAGAAAACCATTGGAACAAATAAGCGTAGTCAGGCAAAGCAGTTCTGCCCCACAGCCATGTCCAAAATGTGTCTCTTTCTGCTTCTTGTTTCCATCCCCTCCATCAGAAGATGGGTAAAATGCTTCATCATCGATCTGAAGACGTGGTTGGCCATGGCTTTGAGCAGAGTTCTCAAGTCCTTAGGAGTCATGTTTTGTTACCACATTGCTGTCCTTGTATAAATTGTTGTGGTCCTGCTCACCTCTTGGCATCAGTTCATACCTCCCAGGATTCCCTGAAATCAATTAATCAACATTTATTAAGCACCTGCTGGGTGCCAAGCACTGTGCAAAGCACTGGAGACACAAAAAGAGGCAAAGGACAGTCTGTAAGATGAGAGCCCAGCTTGGTGGGGCAGGCCATTCATGGCTGTGAGCTGATTTCTTTTGCCATTTGTAATATTGTTTCCCAAGATCTCTGCTTATTTTTAGTAGAAGCCATGAAATATTGAATGGCCCCAACTGTGAGGGCCTCATACCTAACCTGTTTCTTTCTGGCCTCTTGTAATATTTTTTCTTTGACCTGGAAGCTTTGGATTTGGGCTGTGATGCTCTTGGGAATTTTCATTTGAGGGTTTGCTTTCATGAGGCCATTGATATTCTTTCCAATTTCATTTTGCCATTTAGTTTTAAGAGACCTCAGTAGCTTTCACTTTTGATTTCTTGAGGTACAATATAGTATTCAGACTTTTAAAATTTTTTGATCTTGATGTTAAGCAAAATTTTAGTTAGGGCCTCTCTGAGGCCCTAAGTACTAAATACCTAAGTACCACTTAGGAAATAAGACAAATGGAATTTATTAGCATGCTAAGGTGGCTGGGCTGTTGGACTACTGCCCACCCGGAATTCAAACTGCCCACTGCTTTTACAGACAGGAGGAAATAGCTTCCATAGAAGGGCAGGAGTATTGTGATTAGTACTCGTAGAGTGCAATGAGCAGATGGCATTGGTACACATGGGCGTGCCATCTTGTGCAGGCTGGCAGCCCCATGCCCAGAGTCTAAGGGTCATGAGGTCCATCACACTGTCTTTGCACCCAGGGCTGACTTTGCACAATGGTTCTCAAGGAGACCAGTGATCTTCACTTGCCCTGTTCACCAGGTTGTTTTTGATAACAAACACCTAATACGTTCTTCTCCTTTTTCAATAACAGTCGTTAACATCTCCATCTACGCTGCCTTTTAGACAGCCTGCTACTTGGGTAAGGTGGACCACTTTCTTTTCTGGGTGACATAGTCTCCTACTTCATTCTCTTTGGCTTCATTTCTTTAGGGTAGTCACATAGTCTTTGTGGGGAATCAAGTTTTCCCTTTAAGTCTCTGCTCACCGTTGTTATGAAGTTGTTCTCTTCTTCCGATGTGGATTTTGGGGTACCTTTGGGTTCATTACAATTCTTTATATCCATATTGATCTGTGTGTCCTTTTTGCTTATCTCTCCAGCCTTAGTTCCTAAATTAAAGCTTTGTTCCAGAGCCAGGCCACCTCTTGTGCTTTTGAATGGGATAGTAAGCCTCGCTTGGTCTGGTTCTGGACTACCTGGGGTTCCTGGGATAACCCCCACCTACCACGCTTGTCCCCCCACTTGCCACCCTAGATCTTTGAGGTTGTGTCCTCTGTTTTCAGGATAGCGCTAGGGACCTTGGCACCCGGACGGTAAGGGTGCGCTCAGAGTAGGTTAGCCCGGGTCCTTGGGGGGGAGAGGGGTCCTGGGCCCCTGGGTCTGTGTGTGCCCTCATCTCCCTGGTCACTACCACTCCTGGGGCTTCCACGGTCCCCACTATAGCATCCACCCACACTGGAGCCCCTTCTCTTGGTGCTTCCGCACATAGAACCTTGCAGGCTCCTCATGTCTCTGACCCATGCCTGGACACATTGGGAGGCTGCCATCGGGTTTGCCTGTGCTGGCACTGGTCTGCTTAGAGCTCTTTCCTTTTGCCTGGGGGCTTCTGGCTAATTCTCTGCAGAGTCAGTTTGGGGATGTAAAAAAGTCATCTGCCATAGTTTCTCTCTGAATTCTTGGTCATTTGGTCTGGTGCAATTTTTAGGGTTTGGGTTTTTTTCTTAAGTGAGGACACAGGTGATCAACTTCCGTTTGGGTAGGCATCTTGACCAGAAATCATCAACAAGACATTTCACAAAAAGTCTCTCATAACATCCCTTTGGGCAAATTGTAGAGATCTGGTGTGGATTCTGATGGATAACTTGGGTGTCTTACCTCATTGAACAGTTATTTGCAGCATGGCAGTTGATGGAGTGGTGACAACCTGGAAGAGTCCATCTGGTGGTCTGTTATAAGGCTGTGACTTGGACCCTGTCCTTTTCAACATTTTTACCTACAACTTGGATGAAGACCTTGTATGTCCATGATGTACTTGTCTCCCTAGAGCCTAGACATGTTGACTGCCTTTCATCAGCTCTTGCTGTTCATACCCCACTCTGATCCTCAGGCTGAGGAGTCATACCTTTCCCTTGGGAGATTGCTTTGTAGATTGTAGGTTTCGTGGGAAGCAAAGAAAAGATAGAGGTACCTTTGCTGTCGTCCACCTGATAAATATTAATAGCCACTCTAGCGTCTGGCATTTAGGCACAGCTTTGAGGCTCACAGCTTCTCAGCACCCCTGACATACAGGTACTTCTGTGAAGAGCCAGGGCATGGTGGGTGGAATGCAGGAAGATCTCACCAAGCCCTCAAGTGCATAGGAGAACAGAGAGCTTTATTGTGCACAAGGGCCTCATAGTATGCTTAAAACCATCCACCTGTGCTGGGTGCCAGCCAGACTAGAGCAGGAGCTGGGCAGAGGGAGGAGGGCACTGCTGCTGCTGTAGCCTCCCTCCCAGGCTGGTGATGTGATACCATCAGGCAGAGGGGGCCAGAGGTGACAGCTGGGTCCTCTCTCTGGTGACCGGCTGCCTGTAACATGTCTGTTAGGACACGTGGGCTTGTGTTTATACCAACCCAACTCCATTTGTATAATTTCATATTTAAAAGCAAATTATGTATGTTTATTTAAAAAAAAAAACCAAAACCTCAAACATTTAGATATGAATCAGTTACTGCCAAGGACCCAACAAGGAGTCAGTCTGCCCTGTCATGTCCTGTTAAAGACACCACCATGAGCCTCAAAGCCCTCAGAATGTTGGGGCTTCTCCTGAAAGGTGTCAGGAGCTTGGGAGAGATAAAGATGATATTCTTACTGATAATCTACAATAATAAGTTATAAAGAAATAAATCTACAATAATTAATAAATACCAGCCTATCCATACCTGGAATGCCACAGGGCATTATGGCTGCTGCCTCCGAGAAGCTGGAGAAAATCTCAAGAAGGGAAATTAAATGATGGAAGGAATAGCAGGCAGGCAGGGAGCGGCAGAGGAAGGCAGGCAGTGACTAAGTAGGGGTCATCATGATGAGTCACCTCGACCAGCTCCCTCATTCAACTGGGGAGGGACCTGAAACCTCCAGAGGAAGAGGGATAAGTGTAGGGACGGAGGCCTTCTGTCTCTAGCCAGGACTCTCACCCCTGCACCCGGCTACCTCGAACCTTTCCAGGGAGGGACATGTAGGCTACATCAAGGAAGGGGGAGGTTTTCAATGATCTAAAAATATATTTTTTTATCTTTTTTTTTAAAAAGTAGCATTTCCCTCTGTGAATCATTCACTTGAGGTGGGCCCTGCCCCCAGAAGGGGCGCAGAGCAGTGGTCAGCTACCGTGGCTACCGAGGGCATTTGGGATTTACCTGGAGGAGGACCAGTTTGTCCGTGACCCCAAATATCAGACCGAATGATCCTCAGAGCCAGCTTCACGGCCAGGCTTTTATGTTACTCAGTTATATCTCAGAGTTTCCTCTTTGTTTCAGCTTCTTAGCACAACCAGCCCAGACCTTCTTTTGTCCCAAGTGAGGTTTATTTTAATTTGCAGGTTAGGAGTAAGAAGACCTATTGAAGGCCATTTGTTGTGATGTAACATGTGTCTTAATTATGAGCTGGTGGGGCCAAGCTTTCACAGGAGCCTAATGCGTGTTTGTTTTTTATTTCAGGATGTTGTGTGGGGATTAAATTCTTTATTTACCGTAAGTATGAGAATGCATTTAATGTCGATTTTTGTCGATTCTCCTGCCTACTAATTTTAGACATTACATCAAATACATGCCAGTTTGCCGAATACCTGTGATCTCATCAGCACAGAAAACTTGCAAGGGCAAAACGTGTTAAGGGACTTGCCCGAGGTCACACAGCTAGTGTGTATGCCTCCACCATCACTGAACAGCCTCTTCTCCATCTGTCTCGGTCACCTTGTCTGTCCAGAGCCTTGTCTCTAGTTACTTAGAGGCTGCCTGGCCCACCACGTCTTCTCCTCTACCCCCGTGGCTGCCCTGCTTTAAGTGTGGTCACGTAAGGACTTGGGTGGATGCCTTTACTTGTCTGCTTCCACAGTGGCTACAGTCATCAGTTTTCAGGACTACAAAGGCAGTCCCCACTGTGGTCGTTCGCAGTTTTCTGACTCCGTCCTGCCCTTACTTTATCTGTCTGCATTAGGCAGTTTCTACAGTATAAAGAGTGAAGTCAACCAGGAGGACTCTCTTAGCCATCCTGCGTGATTTGTAAAGTCCCCTTACAAATGGCCTCAATGGCGGAGGAATTATTTCCTATGACTTTCTACCTGTTAGCAGATTAAAGCTGCCCCAGGGCTCAGAAACTTAACAGGCCTTAACCGTTTCCTGGTGGCCTTCTGTGCTGTGACCCTGAACCATTTTATGAGGAAGGAGACGGTAGAGAGAGAAACATAACATTACTTTTTAGAATACTTTTGGCCAGAGAAACCATCGTTTTTGTTGCAAATCTTCATCTCTGTCTCTGGGCTTCCCTGGCTTCCTTCAAGAAGCAGCTAAAATCCTGGTCGCAGGAAGCCTTTCCTTATCCCTCTTCGTTCTAATGCCTTCTCTCTGTGTGTTTCCAATTTCTCCTGTCTGTGTAGCTTAGAGCAGGGACTGTCTTTTGTATCTCCCTTTATTTGTATCCCTAGTGCTTAGCACAGTGCTCTGCATACAGTAGGTGCTTAATAAATGTGGATTGACTGACCAAAGGAGTTATTAAGTGCTTACAAGTGCCATGTACTGTACTAAGCCCTGGGGATGCCAATACTAGCACACAAGAGCGCCCCTTCCCAGTTTATGTTGTGAGGAGGGGAGGGGAGTAGAGACAGCATGTACTGGAAATTGTGAGGAAGGGAGTGAGGCTCCCCTGTCAGAGCCTAGGGGCCACAGCAGAGACGGAGGTTCAGCCAGCAAGCTTGTCCTAGGTCCAGTGTGCCAAGGACTGGGCTAAACCCTGCAATACAATGACAGGCAAAAACACCCCCTGCCCTCATGGAGCTCCCCCTTTGGCAGGAAGAGGACGTACACTTCAGTTGGAATAGGCCAGAGAATAGATGGAAGATCGGCCGGCAGCGGAGTGGAGCCATCCTGTGTCTGCTCAGGATGGGGAAGTGTGTGGAGGGAGAAACACTCCCTTAGATGACTTCATTGTGCAAAGTGCTTGGATGTGGTTTAATTTTCCATTCATGCTTTTGTGCTTCTGCCTACACGAGGCTGATTCAGAAGTTTGGACCTCGACCAGCGGGGGCTGGTTTAGGCTGAATTTTGTGCCGTATGCTCATGCTTAGCATCCTCCTTTTATTGTGGTTTTAAAAAAATGGATATTACTCTGAGGAAATGTGGAGAATGGGTAGTTGCTGAAGAGTACCCCGTGAGAGATATCACTGCTGCTGTTACAATAAAAAAAAGCCAAGTATTTCAAGAATCCTTCAAACCTGCAATGAAACGGAATCAGCCCTACAAGAAATAAAGGGCCGTCAAGAGCAAAAAACACCACTGAGAGCAGACAGACGATAGCTACAAAACAGCCTCAGTAATCTTCAGAAAAGAAGCAAAACTCTAGAGGGGCACAGCAGCTGGAGGGCTTGTTACGACTTCTTTGGCAGACGAGCTCAGGCTCCTTGGGTTTGGAAGAGCAGCAGAAAGAACATCTGCCACAAAGAAAAAATGCTGGTCATGGACACGACCGTGCAAAAGCTAGAGCACTGAAGAATGGAAAAGGGAAATTTTCACCAATGAAGCCCACTTTTTCATTCAAGGCTATACCAAAACCATTAGCAGAAGCGACCCAAGTCAAGCCTGTAAGATCTGGGCATCTTCATCAGGCTTTAAAACAACCACCCAGAAATATTTGGGAGATTTTTTGTTTCTAGTGAGCTTTGTCCTCCATTTGAGGGAATAAGGACTCTCGTACATGCGTTGATGATATACTGAAAAACAGACTTGTTGAGAAATTTATCCAAGAGTTGGAAATAAACATTTTTCAGTGGCCTGAAAACTCACCTGATTTAAACCCCTTTGAAAACCTAGTAAAAGCTAGTAATAATAGCTTATATTTACATAGTACCCTAACATATAGTATGTTATCCTCATCCTCCGGGTGAGACTTTTGCTCCAAAGGGATCACAGAAAGAAGAACAGAAGCCATATAAAAATATTTGTAGTAGCACTTTTGGTAGTATCATAAAACTGTAAACTTCCATCCTTCAATTGGGGAATAGCTGAACAAATTATGGTATGTGGTTTAGGTATCAAGACCATATTTGTAACGTAGAAGAAATTTAGTAGGACTCCTTTTCCAATTTTTCCCACACATTTTATATAATATTGTAATTAATTGTACCTTAAATAGTTGATAGATTTTGTTTATAGGTCTATGTGATCTCAAGTCTACCCCCTTCCCTGCTACCACCCCCCTCCCAGGAGCTTATTTATGGCTTATTCAGTTTCTTTTTCTGATTTGGATTATTGACTTCTTCTATTTCTTGTTCTGTTGAGCTGGGCATTTTATATTTTTGTAAATAGTCATCTGTTTTATTTAGATTGTCAGTTTTTGGGGCACATAACTGGGCAAAATAGTTTCTAATAATTTCCTTTATTTCTTCATTTGTTTTGAATTAACCTTTTTCATTTTTGATGCTAGGGATTTAGTTTCTCTCTTTTTATTAGGTTAGCTAGTAGTTTTATTTTGTTGAGTTTTGCATATTTTTTGGTTTTGTTTTCAGTTTGTTGGTTTTGTAATTTTTTTAGTTACATATTCAATTTGTTGATCCATTCTCTCTGGCTTTTATTAATGAAAGTGTTTAGAGTGTTAAATTTTCCCCTAAAAACTGTTGCTGTATCCCAAAATTTTTTTTTATTTTTGTTGACCTTTAATGAAATTATGATTTCTATAATTTGTTTTTTGACCAGCCCATTCTTTAGGATTAAATTATTTAGTCTCCAATGAATTTTTCATTGTTTCTTCAGCAAACCTTTATTGAATATAACTTTTATTGCATTGTGGTCCATAAAGAGTGAATGTAGTATTTCTGCTTTTCTGAATTTGTGAAATTTTTAATGTCCCGATACATGGTCAATTTTTGCAAAAGTGTAATTCATAGCTGGAAATATGTATACTCCTTTCTATTCCGATTCAGTAATCACTGGAAGTTTATCTAACTTTTCTAAAATTATTTTCACACGCTTGACTTCTTGTTTACCTTTTGGTTAGATTTTATCTGGGTCTTAAAGGGATATACATTGAGATACTCCACTATTAGATTTTGCTATTTCTCCCTGTAACTCATTTACTTTCGTTAAATATTTAGCTATTTTGTCATTCAAAACGCATATGTTTAATATTGATATTAATTCATTGTTTGTGATACTTTGTCAGCAAAATGTAATTTGTCTCTTGTTTATCTCCTGTTTATCTCTTTTAATTAAGTATATTTTTGCTGTTGCCTGGTGTGAGATTGTGACAGTTATTCCTGCCTTTTTTACTTTAGCTGAAGTGGGAGAGATTTTGTTCTAGCCCCTTTTTTGAACTCTTTGTGAATCTAGGTGTTTCAGGTGTGTTTATTGTAAACATTGATTCTGATTTCTGATCCATTCTGCTATCTTTTTCCATTTTATGAGGGAGTTTATCTCATTCACATTCACAATTAAGATTGTTAATTGCATCATAAATTATAAAAAGGTCATTTCAGGGAAAACTAGGAAAATGGCACTGATATGGGATGAAGAGAGCAGGACTAGGAGAACAATTGATATGATAACTACATTGTAAAGAAAAATAGCTTTGAAATACACCGGCACTCTGAGCAGTTCAATGACCAGCTTCTTAAATGCAGAGGACTGAAGCTGGCTCCCTACCAGACAGGGAGCTCACAGATTCAAGGGACAGTGAGCCATACGTTGTTAGATGAGGCCAGTGTGGGAACTGGCTTTGTTAGACAGCACATATTTGTTTTGTTCCTATTTTATTTCACGTGGGGTGAGAAGGCTGAGGATGCGGTACCCCATTCGCCCTACCAAAACAAATTGTTGAGTTATAATCAAGGCTAGACTTGGGAAAGCAGACTTTTCAGCAAATGTGTGTTTACTGTTCATTGTGGTAAGAATGTAGTTTTGTCATAAAGAATTAGGGAATATGTGTCCAACTCTCATGAACTCAGTGCCGAATTATACAAAGTGATAATAGCAAAAGGAGACATGTGGCGTAATAAAAAAAAATTTTACGGTGTAAAATATTGTGAAGTTGTAAGGTTTATTATATGTCAGTCAGTGGGATTATATTCTTTGTCCTGAGAAATTCACACACCCTTGTAAATGACCTGGGCCTTCCAGAGGCTTTTCTACATTCTGAGAAGCCAAAATCGTTGTTAATGAAATCATCTAAGTAATATATTTGTAAGTAACTTAATACATGGGATTATAGTGAGGATTAAACTAGATAATGTGTGTAAAGCACTTTGCTAAATGTTCAGTACTGTTTTTTCTGTTTATTATTTGTTTTGGTTTATGCGTTTTTGAAGAAGTGTATACTCACAACCCTTGAGTCTTCTTGTGGAACCAGGATATCTAAGTAACCACAGGAGTGAAGAAAGCTTTGGCTGAGAGGAGGAACGACCCACATTAAAATCCCCCTCCTGCCACTTCCTGCCTATGGTGTCTATGACAGGCAGGTCACAGGTGATCTGAGGGTCCACCAAGGGCGTAGGTATAAAGCAACAGCCCTTTTCTGCCTGGGTTTTTGTAACTTCTTTCTTCTTAGTGATGGTTATGAGGTTTAGAGTGGTTGTCTTTGCAAAGTGGTTTGGTGCCTAATCTTTGGTTAGGAACACAGCCCTTGATCCACATATCCCTTTGGGAGGAGGTGGCTCATTTTACAGGGAAGTCATTTTTCACGTTTCCCGAGAGAATACATTGTAATTCTTCCCTGTCTTGTTCTGTTTGGTGTTTGTTTGTCTTTGAAGAATTTAAAAGATAAGAGCAAATCTGACTAAATATAGCTGCTTTATTCTGCATGGCCCACCTAGACCTAGCCCTGGATGCCCTGAAGCTCCCGGGTTTCGGGGGTTTTTGTTTTGTTTTGTTTTGGCATTACACCAGGTTTCTAGTGCTGTTGTTAAGTCTACATTTTCATAAACATGAAAAATACAGGACACTTAGTGAATAGGTCAAAATAGGGCATTAATGATACTGAGTCAAAACAGGGCTTTATTAAACAAGTTTCATAATTGAAGAATTTCACTTTTCTTAGCCCTGTTCTTAGCCACATACTGGTAAAGATTCTTATTATGAGAGCAGATTTATTTCTACTTACTTCATTACCAAAAGTGGCACCAGAATAGCGTATGCCAACATTAGAAGTACCAGAGTGGTTGCTTTCCTCGTTAACAGCCCTGTGAGTTGTATACCCCCTCTTTTGATTCAGAATTTGAACCCAGGTCTTTTGATATTAGGGCATTGCTTTTCTACTACACCCTAGTCTCTGCCGTCTGAGAGATTCCACAGTCCTTGTGACACCCGTTTTCATATCGAACAGTGAGTTCTAAGTTAGCACAGAATGTGTGATGGTGTTCTGGTTCACTGGGACCTTTTCTTCCATTTCTCCCTCTGAATCAGCAGCCAGGAAACTCAGCTCCCGGCTCCCAAGGGTTTTATGCTGCATTCACTGTCCCCATCACTTGTCACTTAGAGGAGAGTGACATTCACAAATTCACCATTTCTCTTGCTTTTAGGACCTTTTGAATTTTGATGATCCTTTGAATATTGAAGCTGCAGAACACCATCTGCGGGACAAGGTGAGTCAGTGCTTTGGCAAACAAAACTGATTGGTTTTCACTGCATAGGCTGTCAGCGAGCAAATCTCTTTTTGTTTCTGGAATGTTAGGTCTTCTGCTGAGTACAGAACAATAATAATAAAGAGCATCTAGTCTGTCTGCCCCCTTGTTTTACAGATGTGGAAACTGAGGCCCAGAGAAGAGAAAGGGACTTACCTCAGCTTACAGTAACAGTGCAGCTTCTCCATGGTACTAATGGCTCGTGAGAATTCATTATGGCCGCGCATGGAACCCGCTGTATGTGCCTCTGTGTCTGTGCACTGGGCTTCTCAGGGGTAGCCAAGCAAAGCCACACCGCCGGGGTCCCTGGGTTATCCAGAGCACGAGCCCTCATTTGTTGAGCTCAGCTCTGAGGAGCTCATCCCAGTGAGGGTGGCTGCTGTGTAGGGAATTGTTCTGACCACAGCGACTCAAGGCAGTCTTCTAAAACACTGTCCGCTAGAGGAAGCGGCCACCCTGACGAAGTCCTGGGTCCTTGAAACCCGGAGGACTTTCCTCTGTTGGTTTTTACGTTTTTGTTTTTCTTTACTCTTGCAGCATGACAACTTCACCTTATATTTTTTTAAAAAATTAAATGTTGGGGGCAGCTAGGTGGCGCAGTGGATAGAGCACCAGCCCTGGATTCAGGACCTGAGTTCAAATCTGACCTCAGACACATAACACTTACTAGCTGTGTGACCCTGGGCAAGTCACTTAACCCCATTGCCTAGCCAAAAAAAACCAAAACAAAAACAAAAAATTAAATGTTTTATTGAAAACATAATACTGAACATCAGTAGAACCACCCAGACTTGTTCAGTAACAATTTGCAGTCAATTTAATTTTAGTTAATAAAATGTCATAACTTTTTTCTGTGACTCTACTACCCATTCCACCATTCTCTAGTGAGTAGAAACCCTCTCTTGTAACAATATGTATAGTTGGGCAAAAGGAAGCCACACGTGTCATGTGCAAGAGTAGGTCCGGTTCTGTGTGTCTGGTCTGTCACCTCTCAGGCACAGGGTAGAAGGGGGATTTCATGCTCAGCCTTTTGAATTCAGGATTGGTCACTAGGCAAGTCAGAGTGCTGAGGGCTTTCTGTGTCCTGGGCTCCCCTTCCCCCCTTATTGTTTTGGTCACCGAATGATTTGTCTCCTGTTTCTGTATTTGCATTGGTTCACACCAGGCTCCGTGTTTTTGAATTGTTGTGTGACTCTTATAGTACAGTAAAAATTGCTCTAAATTCAAGTATCACAATGGGTTTAGCTACTTAGGTCACATCGAAAAGCGTTTGTTAAACACCTACTGTGTGCTAGGCACTGGCCTGAGCCCTGGGGATACAGAGAAAGGCAGAAAGACAGAGCTCACAGTTCAGCAACATGCAAAGGCACTTAGGTATTTGAAACAGCAGGAAGTACAGCTAGAAATGTTCTTATCCATAAGGGATCCTTTCTGTCCTTGTCCTCCTTGGAGGTCATGCTTAAGAGGAGTGTCACTGAGTCCAAGGATATGTATAATTTAGTGACCTTCTGGCTGTGGTTCCGAATTGCTTTCCAGAATGATGGATTGGGTGGCTAGCCCACCAAAAGCGCACATTTAGGGCCCGTCGTCCCACATCCCTTCCACCAATGGCTGTTTTGCTCTTTTGTCATCTTGCCAATCTGATGGGCATGAGGTGGGACCTCAGAACTGTTTTAACTTGGTTCCAGTCAGCTAGCATTTATTTCAAGCGCCTGTGTGTCCCAGGCACCACCAAGTCCTGGCAAATACAAAGAATGAGCCAGTCCCTCCTCCCATGGAGTTTACATTCAAAAGGGAGAGACGAGTGCTCATTGAAGTTTATGTAGAACAAGTGTAAAGAGAACAAATACCAGATGGTGGGAGAGGAAGAACCGCAGCATTTGGGGCCATAAGGAAAGGCTTCCACTAGAAGGTGGTGCCTCTGTGAGGCTGCGGTGAAGAGCATCAAGGCAGGTCTCCCATATCCTGCAGTCCAGTCATTAATTTTTTTAGCCTAAATGTAGGCTTTTCCATTTCTCTCTGTTTTGAGTCATCCACACCCTACGTGGGCGTGCCTTCTGTCTTCTTGGCTTCATCCAGTCATCCATTGAAGATATTGGGCTGAGAACAGAGGCCTGTGGAATGCCAGGAGAGGGAGCTACTTCGGGTTCCTGTCAGCATTCTTTGGATGTGGCTTTTCAATAAGGTGTGAAATCCTTCAACCCTCCATCTGCTAATCATGGAATCTCTGAGTGAGAGGGAACCCCAGCATGTAGCTCACCCTTTACCTAAATGTGAATCCCTTCTCCAGCATTGCTGACCAGTGGGCCTCCAGCCTCTTCTGAGGATCCTTCTACACAGCCCTGGCTCCCGGCTCAGCCTTCTGAGGCAGCAGCGAGCCAATCAAGCCGCCTTTCTACAGCAATTCTTCATCTATCTGAATCATTGTGTTTGCCCCAAGAGCCTTTTCCTCTAAGGTTTAACATCCCCGTCTTTTCAAGTGATCCCCGAGTGATCTGGCCATCAAGTTGTTCTCCCTTCTCTGAGTGAACACCAGCTTGTCAGTGTCTCTCCCAAGGTGATCCTCCAGACGTGGACCAATGAAGGCATGTCGGACAGCCCTGCCCCTCACTCTGGGCCTCCTTGGCCCCCGGTGCAGCCCAGGACACCGCTAGCTTTGTAGAACCAGCCCCTCGCCCTTCTGGAGGATGGAGTCAGTGACAGTCACTGGAGTGAGGTGATCCATCCACCAAAGGTAATAGCTTAGAAAATGAAAGCTCGCTATGAATGAGGCCAAGTTACCCCAAAATCCTTAGTCTCAGAAGGCAAGACGTCCTCAGTAGTGATGGAGCAGAAATTTTTCAGCAGTCAAGACTTGTTTTTAATTTTAAGATCTTTTTCCATTGCAGAAGTCTGCAGAAAATTTAAGTTATGGTCATAAATAGCCTCCAATCAAAAGGAGCTGTGGGGGCTGGGGGAGTGGAGGTGGTTGTTCTCACAAATGCAAGCCTTGTCCCTGCTTTTACAATGTCTCCTTCGAACTTGCAGCGTGATTGACAATGGCTGGGAACTGAAGCTTGAAATGATCTTTTGTGCGTGATTTCAGACGTTTTTCAAGATTTTCAGTCACTTAAGAAATATCAGCTAAGCTGTTGAAGGACAAAAAGAATGAAATAAATGAAGGGATCTTTTCATTCCCTCTTTAATAAAACATTATCTTCCCCCTCAAAAAGCCACTTTTCTCATCCATTTTCCATTGACAGCACTGCCGTCTTCCCCGTCACTCAAGCGTAAAACCCTGAAGACAAGGTCGTTGATTCCTTCTTTTTGCCCTAAGTGACTAAGTCAGCAGTGTCTCTTGTCCCCATTCCTGGTCCAGACCCTCCAGACCTCTTTGCTGGGCTCTTGTGGTAACTTCTGGCCTGCTTGCTCTGCTGCCAGGCCCGCCCTTCCCATGCCCTAATCTGTCCTAAAAGACACCTCTGATGAAGCATTTCCTTGCTCACAAACATGGCGCACAGGGACCTCTGCAGTCCCCATGTTTGTTTCCCTGCATGCCGCGCTGGAGGATGGTGATTGGCCTCTCCCCTTGCTCACGGTTCCTTCTCTGCCTGGAGTGTCTGCCCTTCCCCTGGCACCCTGTGTCTTCACCATGGCCACCTTCCACCGGGCAGGGCCTTCTTCACCACCTTCCAAACAGCCCCCAGGCCACACCCAGGAAGAGCTTAAGACCATCTTCGACTGCTGCTTGTGGGTGTCTCCTCTTTCTTCTTTCCTCCTGTTCTGAAGACTGTAATCCAATATATATTATCATTGCCCCTGAAATGTCAATCAGCTGCCCTGTTGTTCTATTCACCATCCAACCCCACGACTCCCCAGGCAGCCACACCTCACGGGGATTGTCACTGATATTAGTATAAAGGTCTTTGAGAGCAGGGAATGCTTCCCAAAGGCCTAGAGCAGCATCTGGCACATAGCAAACCCTGAAATGCTTTTTCATTGATTCAGTCAAAATGACTAAAAAATACGCATTTGTATATTAGCCTCGACTCCCTTCTTCACTCCAGCGGAATCCATTGCTTGCCTTCCAGACGACCAGGCCTTGCCATCTCCCCTGACGGTGTGTCACCCCTTCATGTGAGAATGTGAGTTTCTTGAGAGCAGAAATGGCCTCACTTTTCTGTCTGAATCCCCAGAGGGCAGCCCAGTGCTTCACACATGGTTAGTACTTCAAAAATACTTCTATCAGAGCAGCTAGGTGGCACAGTAGATAGAGCACCGGCCCTGGATTCAGGAAGACCGGGATTCAAATCCGGCCTCAGACACATAACATTTATTAGCTGTGTGACCCTGGGCAAATCACTAAACCCCACTTCCTAGCCAAAACCAAAACAAAACAAAAGTTTTTTCATTCATTCGTGATTGACCAGTACAGATCATTTCCAAAAGTCCAGTCCAAAACAACGTTAATTACAGTGAGAAACTTGACCAGGTATGTGATCAGAGCATATCATTTAACTTCTCTCAAGCCTCAGTTTCCTCATTTTTAAAATAAGGGTAATGCTTAAGAATACTTGCCCCATAGGGTTATTGGGGAGCTTCGATGAGATAATGTATGTAAATGTTAAAGCACATTTGCACAATAGCAGTCATTAGCTCAGGCTCTTATCTCCGGGAGGCCAGTGCTTGGCCCACAGTAGATACTTAAATGCTTATTGATTAATTGAATTGTTTGATTTACATTTTCCGTATATTAAATTTATCCCTTTAATACTATGAGGATTGGGGATTTCATTAGTGAGGATACATTTTGCATTGATAATGCTCCCAGCCTGTCTCTGACTTAATAGATGGTTGTCAGGAGTTGTCATGGCCAAAAAAACCCTAATCTTGTGACTGTGGATGAGTCTTCTTGGCCTGGCCCAGCTAATCCTGTAACAGTAGACAAGCAGTCAAAGCCCTTGGGTCCTTCCAGCTTGTGA